GTTTCAAAGAGATATTTGTACACCCGTGTTCATAGTAACATTATTCACAAGAGTTAAAACATGAAAGCAACCCACGTGTTCATCAACACATAAGTAAAATCCAGCATAAAATACAATGGACTATTAGTCAGACTTCAAATGAAAGAAAATTGTAATACATACTACACCATGGATAAACCTGGAAGACTGTATGCTAGGTGAAATGAACCAGCCACCAAACATAAATACATACATACATACATACATGCAATGTGATTCCATTTCTATAAGGTACCTGGAAGTGAAAAATCATAGAAACTGGAAGTGGAATGGTGGTTGCCAGGATTTGGAGAGTGGGGGCAATGGAAGTTATTGGGTCATTGAGAAAGCCATGATGCATTTTTGCATAGAAAAACATACATCATGACTTTCCTGACGATGTAATCTTTAGTGGGTACAGTGTCAGTTCTATAAGATGAAAAGGGCTCTGAAAATAGATGGCGGTGACAATGGCACAGTATTTTAAATGTATTTAATTCCACTGGATTGTGCCTGTAGGAAATTAGGATGATAAATTCTATCTTATATGTACTTTAAAATAAATGTAAAGAAAACAGAGTGGTAGAATTGAATAATTACAGAACTTTTCTAACTAGGAAATACCTAACTCACTACAAATAATTTTGATTTTTAATCACAGTTCCTGACACTTTAAATTATTGCTTTCCTTACCGTTGATCTGCAAGTGATTGAATACTAACCTTTGTTTTTATTTTATTTTTCATGAAGGCCACCGATTTAAGTAATCTTAAAAATGCTATGTGAACAGTGACCATTTTGTCAAAAAAAAAGAAGCCAAATGGCATGAAACAAACCAGAAGTGACAGTGAGTGAGGAAAGGGATCAGTAATCCACTCAGGAAAGCTAGTAACTGTCACCATGGAACTGGGAGGGGAAGGAGAAGGAAGGGAGATGCATGAAAGAGCAAGAATTCCAAAAACGTTGAAAGAGCCATGGGCTAGAACTCGCAAAAGACCCTATAGTATGTCAGAGGTGAGGCTAGAAGTCCCAAAAGACTCTGCAGTATGTCAGAGGTGGGGACGACAACAGCCATTTTCTCCTTTGTAGAGGACAGGGAAAAGCCCCCACTCAGCTGCAAACTCTGGAGACACACGGTGGGGCTGGGGATTGAGGGCTCCCCAGAGAGCATCTCAGAAGGCATCACACCACTCTCGGAACCAGCAGTTAGCGTAATGGCTATGTCACTGGACTCCCACGTAGTCGACTGCGGTTCGCGTCCTGGACCCAGTGGCTTAAAACTCACACTGGGCACGTGTGCGTGTGTGTGCCCAAGATCCCGAGAGGAGAAGGGATTGCGGTGTGGCCATCCCCCCTGGGGGTGATTTCTTGCTTTCTGTCTCTCTGTCTCTCTCAGTCTGTCTGGCAAGCGCACGTGCCCTATAGCAAAAACCTCTCCAAAAAAAAGAAGGCATCACACCACTTTCAAAGACGCCCAAAGCAGCGCCAGGACTTGGTGTGGGTGCCACATGCATCCTTCAGCCATTCATGGAAGAGGCCTTCATCTTTCTTTAGTACCAGAAACCAGCCAAGGACCACATCGACCTTGTCAAAGCCGCTTTCCCCCAGTTCCTTGCCCATGACTTCACCAATCCCAGCCCGATTTCCCACTGGCTTTTCCTCCATGGGCCCTGCCATGACGTCTCAGTGCTTTGGAGAGGTTGTTATCTTAATCAAGCTTAATCAGCAGCTCCGGATTCCATAACAGCTACTAGAACACTAACCTTTCAAAGGGAATAAAGGGTGGTGTGGAGGTTGAGGCACTGGACTCCCATGTGATTGACCATGGTTCGAGTCCCAGACCTGGCAGCTTGAAGCCCAAAATGCTGAGAGGAGAACAAAGAACTGATGGCAGTACAGTGGTACCCTGGGGGTGATTTCTACCTTTCTCTCTCTCTGTCTCTCTGGTGAGCGCATGTGCCTTATAGCAAAAATCTCTCGGAAAAAAAGGAAAAGAAAAGGGAATAAAATGTAAGAGTTTGCTATTTGAAGGGAAAAAACATTCAGTGAAGTAAACTATCATCCCCAAGCTTACCCCGCAGAATGGTGAGGAGTATACTTCTGTCTCTCTAAAGGTGTGATTGTACTACACACGTGAAAGTGAGCCTTCACAGGTGCATTTTATTTTGTAATTTTCTATCATCAGGGCTGCTCTAGGAAGAAGGCAGAAGAAAAGGAAGAGAACTCTCACAGACCAATGTATACATTTATTTTTTTTCTTTGCAAAATGCACACCCAATGCAAATTACACAGTGAAGTTAGCTGAGGGGCATAATTTGTTACACAAATAAACAAACACTATTTGGTTCCGTCTGTGGCTACTGCAGTTATAATGAAAATCTAAAAACAACTGTAATGCTTCTAACCATAAAATTATAAGGCAAGAAAGTGGATTTAGATAACTGTAAGAGCCTTAATTGTATGTTTATAAACTCAGACAAAGCCCTTACTCAAATTTAGCTCCAGCTCAAATAGCACAACCAACACACAATTTTCACTTTGCCCTTTCTTCTGCCATGTGGGTCTAAGACCCCAGGCACTAGAAAATTCCATGCCTAAAGAAGAGCGTGTGTTGTGTATGGACAGGAGGGAGAAGCGTTCAGCTGAATGCGGCACAAGGAGCCGGAGAGCTCGGATTAAGGCAGTGCAGCTACCTCCGTCTCTGCCTACGTCCAGTGGTACTTGATCAGAGAAGTCCATCGGAATTCCAGAGTGTCCCAGTGACAGGGAGCCAGAGGTCCAATGTCATCATCTTACAGAAGTCCAGAGAGGGCAAATAACTCCTCAGAGTCACACAGAAAGTCAGAACTCAAGATCCCAGAGCCCCAGGTTGAGATTTCTTGCATGTCTCCACCTCAGCTGTTACATGGAGACTGTGGCAGCAACAGCGTCCCAGAGCCCAGAGCCAGGGGGCAGTGGTGGGGAGCCAGCTCTGTCTGTTTAGGGCTCCAATGACTTTTTTTTTTTAGAAAGAGAGATTTTTGCTATAGGATATGTTGCTCACTAGAAAGACAGAAAGTGAGAAATCACCCCACCCCACCCCCTCCCAGTTGGATGGCCACGCCACAGCCACAATCCCTTCTCCATTCTCCTCTCAGGACTTTGGGCATGCCTGCATATGCACCCAGCGTGAGTTTAAGCTGCCAGGTCTGGACTCAAACTATGGTCAACTATGTGGGAGTCCAGCCTCATAACCATTATACCACCTGCTGGTCCCTCCAATGAGTTTTTTCTCCTCCAACAGCAGGGTGTGGACAGGACAGCCACAAACACCTCTGTGCCTCCTTCCAGTCCCTAAGTCTAACACGACTAGATCCTAGAAACCGAGGAAGCAAACAAGGACAGAGGAAGGTGCCGCTCTTGAGCCACCACTGACCACCGGCCACCGACTCATAAAGCTGATGAGAAATGGCAGAAAGCCATGGGGCTGCGAAGACACCACAGCAGGCGAACAGTGAACAATGCACGGGAGTGGTATTTTAGCGGAGGAGAAAGCGCTGTCCTCCTCGGATGTAACCCTGAGCCAAATGATGAGAAAGGAGTGAGCCGACATCCAAGACAAGAACATTCTGGACACACACACAAAAAAAAAAAAAACAGCAGGAAAGGTGAGCAAAATCCTGACTGAGCATGGATCAACTCTAGGAATATACTAAAGCCATTGAAGTTCAATTTTATGTGGAGGAATTGCATCTCAGTGACGCTCTTACCAGGGCCAGAACTGTAACCTAGCGAATAAACGGAGCTGGATCTTACCTGGCTAAACACCATTCGAGTCCCAGTCCTGGCAACACGAAAACTCTCTGGGCCTGTGTGCGTGCATGCCCAAAATCCCAAGAGGATGGAGAAACAGAGAAGGGATTGTGGTGTGACCATACCTCATGAAAGAGTGCTCTCTCTCTCTCTCTCTCTCTCACACACACACACACACACATACTGGTAATCTTTTGAAAAAAATTTTAACGGTTAGCAGAAAACTTAAAAAGTAATCTTTAAATAGCAGATAAAGTCACTCATGGTTTTTCAAGGGCATATTTTCACATGCTCTGTTCGTGTTCCTTTAAGACAACACAAGGGAAAATCGTGGGGTGAGCCAGCCCTTCTGGCTTTCCCTTTCTCTCTCCCTTGCATTATCTATCCTGCTTCCCAGGGCCTTCCTAAGAGGCTGAGGTTAATCGGTGAGTTGCCCCAGAACCTTGGTGACTGCTGGTTTCACCATGCAGTTAGCTCCCTTTAGCTCCCTCTGCCCCTTAACACAGTTCACATTTTGACAGAGGCCTTGAAGGTCCTAGCTCAGTCATCCCTACTCTTGGCCTTTAGGGCCTGAATCTGGAGGAGTGGAAGACACACTTCAAAGTTGGAACTGTTAAATGACCTTCTGTGGGTTGTTTAATTTCAACTTCTAGAAACCCACATGCCACAATTAAGAGTGTGGTCGAAAGGTTGGGATTTTTAAGTGTCCCAGCAGGCCAGTAGGATAGAAATGTTTAATTCAGGGCCACGTTTCTATTAACCTGAACCAAACCACGAAGACAACTGTTTGCTTTCCCTTTTCAGGCATTCTATACACCAAAAGAGCAGGGAAAAAGCAAAAGGTAAATTTGTAAAGAATGTTTCTTTTCATCTTTACCCACAATTTCTGTTGTGAATCAGGTCACAGAAATTTATGAATGTGTGCAGAACACCTTCTCATTGTGGAGACAGGCCCAGCTGGGGGTAGGGCAGTGGTAGTGCAAACCTCTGCAGTGCTGAAACTCATGAAAGATTGGGGTTCGGTTCCCTGATCAACCTGTACACACCAGACACACACATAAATGCCCATGAACCTGGCTGATTTAAAGACGGCAAGGAGGGAGGGAAGGAGTCACAGTGAGACCCAATTGAGTGGGCTTGTCTCTCTTTCTCATGAAAAAAAGAAACTTTAAAAAAAAAAATAGCAAAGCATGCTCACTTTGGCAGCACAGACACTAAAACTGGAACAATACAGAGAAGCTGAGCATGGCCCCTGCATGAGGATGACACGCAAATGCATAAAGTGTTCCATATTTTTCTTTAAAAAAAAAAAAAAAAAAACGCAGCAAAGAGCCAGCAGGTGGCGAAGTGCTTACAGCACTGGACTCTCACACAGCCCACCACAGTTGAAGTCTCAGACCCTGTGGCTTGAAAATCAAACCAAGAATGCCAGGGGCGTGTGCATATGTGTGTGTGTGTGCCCCAAATCCCAGGAGAAGGAAGAAGGGATTACAGTGTGGCCATCCACTCCAGGGGGCGGGGGGATTATTAACTTTCCCTCTCACTGTCTCTGTTTCTCTCCAGCGAGCACATGCACCCTATGGCAAAAAAAAAAAAAAACTTAAAAAAACAAATGTGTACAACTTAATGCAGTGTTCTTTGTCGAAGAAGGAAGAAGATAAATAGGTGTATGTCTCTGATTTGATTAGTACACATCGTATGCATGCTTTGAAAAACCACACTATTCCCCCACAAAGCCATACATAGACTATATATAAATCAGAAATCATAATAAAAATAACCATGTAGACAGATGTTGAAAACTATGTAAAATAGAAAGACAGCCCGACATCTTCAAGACTCACTTTAACACAAATGACATATACCACCACACATTCTTGATAAAAACCCAGCTTTCCGGGCAAACGTTCACCACACTGGAGGACAAGCAACATGGCGGATGTGTTGACTCAGAGAAAGTGGTGAGGATCTCTTCAGGTTTTACATATGGTACCTCTCTGATGGGATAACCATTGATTGGATACCCACAGTTGCTTAAAGGGAAAAGCAAATTGTTTCAATACAGGAAGCAAACAAATGGCAGCATCAAGCTTGCACAGCTCAGCTCCCATAAAACATGAATGTGGCTAAGGTTAGTGAGCCTCAAGGGGAAGACAGAGGGGTGAGCTTACCACAAAAAAATGCAGGCCCCAGCTTGAAACCTCTATAAAACTAACTGAAACAAAAAGTACAGGTTTTTCTGAACATGCCAGGGAGAATCACAATCAGACAACTGCTGTCTGTCAGGGACTCACAGGGGCTGTGGCGGTTTCCGGACTGCTGCCATGATGGGTTGTCATCTTATTTCTTTGCTTACAGACTAAATACAGGAGGGAAGAAATTAAGAAGTCGAAAGCAGGATGAGATCTCAGCAAGAGAAAAATACACTGGCAATGGTCATTCAAAGCTGCAAACAGTGTTAGACGGTGGTACAACACAAACACAACTACACCCACGTGGGCAGGTCCTGGGTTCACATCCAGAGGTCCCATGTCCACAGTGGGCATGTGCATTCATGCTCAATCTGGGCTGGCTGAGGCTGGAGGTGGATTAGAAAATAAAGATCTTTTTGGGGGTGTCTCTCTTGCTCTCTACCCCTCACCCAATTTCTGGTTCATGGAAGAAATAGTAAATAAACTTTTAAAATAAAATAAAGCTGTTAAATTTTCTATTTATTTTCTCCATGGGTAAAAGTGACAGAGAGAGAGACAAAGAGACAGCACCTACCCTTAATAAGTTCTCTATGCCGAGATCCATTCCCAGAGTCTGCCAACTCTGGACCATGGGCAAACATGTGCCTGGCGTGCTCAGGGAGGTCTCTGGACACAAACCAAGAACCTTCTCCTGCGGATCGGCCTCTCAGAGCAGTGTGCTTTACCATCTTTTTCCAATTTCTCTTGCTTTGACTCTGTTGTTTGGTTTAAAGTGTGGCTTCTCACACATGAACTGAAAAAAAACTAATGACTAGTTGCACCTCATGTTACAACATACTGTTACTCAGGGCAGTGGGTGTGGGGAAGAGCTGCCTGGCCAGTTATTCTCTGGAATAAACAAGGACAAGTCCTCTGTATGACCAAGAGAGGATCAATGAATCATACCACCCAACTGAAGGTTGGGGCCAACGACTCACACGGCCTTGCCTTTGGTTATACCTCTCTCTCCTTGCAGGGGGAGGAGATCAGAACCTAGTTACAACCAAGTTGCCTAACTTGTACAACATAAAGACTACACTAATTAAGAAGCAATTACCACAGTGCAGATATCCAGACTGTCTGAAGAAAGGGCTCCTGATAGAATTTTTAAGATTCCCAGTTCCTCATTTGCAAAGGGTCCCTTCTTGCCTCTTCATCACGACATCTAAATGTTCCTGTTACAAGAATTGTATTTGTTTCTTGTCAAGTGCTTTTTACCCTTGGATATTTCAAAGTCATGGGATATAATGTGCTCATAAGCACCAAGCAGCCAAACATGATTAATTTTTTTTATAGAAATGCACGGCCAAAGCTTGGATTTATTTTGTTCAGAGGTCAGCCTTCTAACCCCAACTCCTCCCAGACGTTGCACCTTGAAGGTGAAGACAACTTTGGGAACTCTTGGAAGTCCTGTCAGACAGTGCTTCCCAAACTCTGTTTACCTACAGTGATCATATAATTTAATGTCTAAACAAGATACTTGGAAGGCACAGAGAGGGAGCTATAAATAATTATTTCTGAAAACTAGGTATAAAGTGGGACATTTAACTACCCTGTGATTTCCTCATGCCTCATAACATTCTCCTTCTCTATATTTTCTGTAAATCCATGATTTCCCACCAGCCTAGGAGATTTTGAATTTATTATAATTTATTTTGTAATTTATCTCCTTTGTAATTTATTTTGTAAAAAAAAAAAATAATGATAGCTAATATACCTTTTCACTCCACAAACATTCCTCAAGATATACCACCATTTCTCCCATGAGGAGGTACATGTGTGCCCACTGACTATGCTTAATTAGAAATCTAGGGACCGGCAGATGGTGTAATGGTTACATCACTGGACTCCCATGTAGTTGACCACAGTTTGAGTCCCAGACCCAGTGGCTTAAAACTCATGCCAGGCGTGTGTGAGTGTGTGCCCAGAATCCCAAGAGGAAAATGGAGGAGAAGGGATTATGGTGTGGCCATCCCCCCGGGGGGTAATTTTTTGCTTTTTGTCTCTCTGGCAAGTGCATGTGCCCTATAGCAAAAATCTCTCTGTAAAATAAATAAATGAATAAATATCACTGCATTGAGCAGAAAATGGCCAGTTCTTTGGAGCTCTAGCAGGTACGGGTGCTCTGGTTGAGAGGGAAAGGCTGTGCAGCATCTCTGAAGCAATGAGAAAGAGGTGCTTAAAGAGTGAGTCACTTTAGGGCACAAAGTTGAATAGTTGGCTTCATTCCAAATGTAAGGGTTGAGTGGGAACAGCAGTTGGTGTAACGGCTATGTCACTGGACTCCCATGTGGTCGACCGCAGTTTGAGTCCCAGACCAGGTGGCTTAAACTCACACCAGGCATGTGTGCATGCATGCCCAAGATCCAGAGAAGAGAATGGAGAAGAGATTGAGGGGTGGCCATCACCCCCGGGAGGGTGATTTCTAGTGTTCTGTCTCTCTGTCTCTCTCTGTCTTTCTGGTGAGTGCATGCACCCTATAGCAAAAGCCTCTTTAAAAAAAAGGGGGGGGGTGAGTTAGGTATAGAAAAATGAAAAATATTTGGAAGGTTTCAATGTGTTCATTGTCAATGATTGACTATCAGACAAGTCTAGTCACTGTCTTAGGGCTGGTTACTAAATCAGCTATACCAAGTTTAATGGAAATATGTTAACCAAGGCTAGGAAAAGTGGCCTACATAGTGTGAGACAACTGCATTTCAATTACTCGGTTATTTGGGGATATTTGGGCTTTGAAGGAGGACATCAAAATGCATTTATGTGATAGAGCAATGTGATGGCTGTCAACTTGACTGGACTAAGGAATGTCTAGAAACCTGAGAAAGCATTACTCTAGGTGTGTCCATGGGAGCATTTCCAGAAGAGATTAACATGTGAGTCTAAGTAACCTGGATGAGGAAGTTTCAGTGTAGATCCAGTCAACAAGGGGCCCACAGAGAACAAATATGAAAGTCAAATGGGTCTCTTTTGAGAGAGAATAGATTTCTGTTCCTGGACACCAGAACTCAAGGCTCACCTGCCTCTGGACACCAGGACTCATGTCAGTGCCATCCCCTTCTCTAATTCTCATGCTTTACTCCTAGGACTATGAGTTACATCACCAGCTTCCCTGCCTCGGAGGCCTCCAGACTTGGCCCGAGCCATGCTACCAGCAACCTGGGTCTCCACGTTGTAGACATCCTATTACGGTTCTTCTCAGCTGCCATTACCACATGAACCACTTCCTCCAATAAATTTCATATATTGTGTTTTCAGAAAAGTAGTCATGCATTTTTTCTGTTTTTATGCAAAAGTGTGTCATGTCTTCTCTGACAACCATATATATACATATATATGAGAATATTTATATATGATATATATGAATTGTATTTATTAATTATATTTCCACAATGCATCCCTGGGAGACAGGAAGGGTCAAAACCTACCAGATTCATGAAACTGGTCTTGTCTATAACTGTCAGAGTTATCTTAGACAGAGTTGTCTTTGGCAAACTGAAAAAGAGGACTTACACATTGGTATGCTCAGTTTAATCAGATGAGTTGCCCTTTGACAAGATACATCAAGTCGTCATTATTCATTTAACAGAAAGGAGTCGGTAAGTGATCATTGTTGGGATCCCGGGGCACAGGATGGAAGATCTAAGTCACTGATTTGGGAGTGTTGGAAGTTTTTAAACAATGTTTTGTCCACTCAGTCACGTGTAATCACAATCTGGAAAATATTAATAGATGAGCACTTAAGTCTAAACACCTCTCTTCTAGAATCATAGCTCTTGGGGAAGTGTTGGGTAACGGGTTTTGCAAAAAAATTTTACCCAGACAGAATTCTCAGACCTTACTTGATTGCATGAATTATGGATGATGGCTGGGAAAGATGTAGGGATGAGGAGAAAAGAGATCGGCACTTAGTCTTTCGGAAAGTCCCAGAACTTAGAGATGATAGGTAACCATGTAAGAAAAAACTGTTTTCTATCCTAAAAAGAACCATCAAAGTCTAGAGGAAGTTCAAACATACCAGCCATCTGCATTTGGAAAATCTCACTGAGAAACCTCCCGTCATCTCTCAGGTGTGAATGGTGGTGCAGGTGATCGCCTGAAAGCTTCCCTACTGCCTATTCCCTCTGCAACTTACAAAAGAAGATCCAATTGGCTAATGCTCCTACTGGAACAGTATCACAGTACCTTGGTGTATTCTTTCATCTAAAACAAGTGAATGGACGAGAGTGTGTAGTCTCCACAACAAGGCATCTTCCTCCCCCACCACCCTTGACTTATGAATGAGGTCAGGAAGGGAAACCTTTCCTCACAGTGTTTAGTGACTATTGCCAGATATTTCGACGTCATTGTTCATCTTCAACAACCAGTCTCCATGGGGTAAAAGCAGCAAGCAACACGGAGTGATGTATTCCTTGGTCTACAAGTGGCCACATTAGTAACCTTTTGAAGGGCATTTTACATTTCCACTCTCTGGGAGAATTTTTGAACCACTCCAGCCTTGCGGTCTGTTTGAACGAGAAGTCATTTTACACTCCTGAATAAAGCATTCCTTTCCAACTATTTCTACACAACTTCCAGGATATGAAAACCACCCGAGGCTCTCCAACATGGCTGCTTTCTTTCCTCTCATAAACAAACTCCGCAGTAATCATGCCATTGTGGTCACTCTGGACCTCTGTATTGCTTAAGCTTGTTCCCGTGGTCTTTTGTTCTGCCAGACACCGATTATGACAGCTCATCCCAAATCTGGACAGCAGGAAGGCTCTCTTCTGTCCATCTCCTATCTGAAGCCTTTTTCTTTGTTCTCCAAAAATACATGAAATCAGAATGATAGAGCCAGGCTTGGAATGGTAGGTCCAGAAATGACTCCAAAGACATCTGGTCTTAATCCCTAGAACCTATAAATGTCACCTTACAGGAAAAAAGTGGTGTTTTCTTGTTTTTCAGTTTTTGAGAGATTTTTGCTATAGGGCATGTGTGTTTGCTGGGGAGACAGAGTGAGATAGAGAGAAAAAAATGAGAGAACACCCCCTCCAGGGGGAATGGCCATGTTGAAGTCCCTTCTCCTCCATTCTCCTATTGGGATTTTGGGCACGCATGCATACCTGACCAGCATGAGTTTTAAGCTGCCAAGTCTGAAACTCAAACCACAGTGGGCCATGTGGGAGTCCAACACCTTAACCAGTATGCCACCTGCTGGCTCCCAAGCAGAAAAGACTTTTGCAGATGGGATTAAATTAAGGATTGTATGTAAAACACACATTGTCCTGGATTACCTGGGCAGGCTGTAAATGCAATCACAAGTACCCTTAGAAAAGGGAGGCAGGAGCCAGGTGGTAGTGCAGTGTTGATGCAACTAGACTTATGTGGAAAAGTCCCTGGGTTCACACCCCATGCTCTCCTTGAACGTGCTGGCCATGTACCTTCATTATCCTGATGGGCCAAGACTGGGCATGAATTTCAGTAAAAAGGCCTTGTTGAGGGTGCCTACCTCTGTCTCTTTCTCATGGAAGAACTGAAGGATAACTTTGTTTAAATGTTTTTAAAGAGGAAGCTCCTTGAATGTGCTGGCCATGTACCTTCATTATTATCCTGATGGGCCAAGACTAGGCATGAATTTCAGTAAAAAGGCCTTGTTGAGGGTGCCTACCTCTGTCTCTTTCTCATGGAAGAACTGAAGGATAACTTTGTTTAAATGTTTTTAAAGAGGAAGCTAGAGGGAAATTTGACACAGATTTGGGTCACTTGCTACTTTTCCCCCACAGAAATTGGTTGTTGAGGATGAACAATGAAATCATAACACGCAGCAGTGGTCACTAAACATTGTGGGGAAAGGTTTTCCTTCCTGACCTCATTCGTCAGTCAGGAGGAAAACAACTTGTTGTAGAGACTACACATTCCTGTCCGTTGATTTGTTTTAGATGAAAGAACACACCAAGATACTGCTCCACAGGGAACATTAGGAAAATATCATGTAACATGGAGGCTGAGAGTGGAGTGATGCAACCACAAGCCAATGAATGCTCGTGGCCACCCAGTGCCAGAAGAGTGAAGGAACAGATTCTCACTAAATGCTTTGAGAGAGCCAGGGCCTTGCCATCACCTTGGTTTCAGTTTAGTGAAACTGATTTGGGATTTCCAGTCTCCAGAACGGTAAAGGAAAAAACTGCTGTGATTTTAATGTGCCATTCCTGTCATTACAGCAGCTACACACGTGGTTCCCTGGATGAGGCCTTCAGCATCCCAGCTGTACATAGTCTCTGCTGTGAAGTCAAGTGCGCCTCAGTACACTGACTCCTAGACACTTCAGAGGAAGGTCTGGGTTTTATTCTTCCTTAACTTGTCCTGACCCACAAGACAGTCAAACAGGTTTCCTGAGGGAAGGAGTGAGAGATGGGACGAACATCGGTTGTCCGGAGATGACGCAGTATTACAACTCTTCAGGGTCATCAGGGTCATCTGTTTATTGTGGGCAGCACCAAGACGACACAGTGTTACAACTCTTCAGGGTCGTCTGGAGATTGTGGACCAGGGATCGTGGTTATATACATGTTGGTGGGCAGTGATTGGTTGTTCTATATGTAAATGAAGGATTGTAAAAGGTTGGTTATGATTGGTTGCTTTTGTGGACCAATCATGAGGTGCCGGATATGCAAATCTGAGGGATTCTAAGCTCACCGATTTGCTATGGGAAGTGACCAATCAGAGTATGGCTTTGAAGGTGAGGTTTTGAAGGGGAGCCAATCATGGCCTTTGGCATTGTGTAATTGTTTGCTGAGAAACCAAAATCTAAGGGCGATATTCGCTGGTGTGCAGCCTCCCATATCAACTGTCCTAGAGAACTGAGAATCTCCTGTGCTACTCTCACTTCCTGAGAACAAACAACAGGAAATAAAAGCTTCAAAGGCAGATCCGAACATGAATTTCCAAGGTCCACTGCAGGCTGTAAACACAGTTATCCTTCCCCTGAGCTTCCCGTTTCTCATCGGAGCCAAAATGCCCCAAAAATGTTCCTCAAGCTACTCAAAAGTCACAGTGATTTTAGTTTTTCTACTTTAATTTGAACAAATCACTTCGTTTTTCTGGACTTCCATTTCTTCATCTAAAAATGAATATCATAAAGCACCAACCTCATTCAAAAGAAAAAGTTAACATCTTTAGCAGTAAGCTCTATCTGAAATTTTTTCAATAAAATTTTTTCCACCAGAATAAAAATAATCACCTCTTTCTTTAATGTTTCATGGCCTTGTCTTGATGGCTCAGATAGATTGGGATTTATCTCCCAGAATATTATCTTTTAAAAAGCATAGTTGGTATGAATTATCCTGAAAGAACTAATGTTAAAAAAAAAAAAACCTTAATTATAGCTAGCTTAGTGAGTACTATTTTAATTTAGGTTATACCATGATTTCCGAAAGTGTTTTCGACTTAGCCATGCAAGCTATGTTCTAGATTAAATCTCGGGTAACAAGACTCAATTACAGAAATAAATAAAAACCTATTTTTATAAATCTTAAATAAAAAATCTCTTACTGAGTTTAAAATCTTACGGAAACCAAGGAGAAAGATTTCTCTTTTTTCCTTTTTTTCCCCCTAGACTTAGCATTCCATGCAACTTTGTAAATGGCAAAAGCTTTGTAATGCTAGTTCACAGTCTTAAATATGCTTCAGAGCTTCAGGGCATTTTAAAAATATCATTAATATAAGCCAGGTTGAAAAAAAAAAGTGGCACTTTCTGGAGTCTAAATTAAATTGGTTGCTGTCCAAGATTTTTTGCATTAAGAGATGCCGGGGTGGGTAGTGGGGTGGGTTGTGGAGTGGGGGTGGAGGGGCAATTAATCACTTGCTGCAGGTATTTGGAGTCTCCTACACACCCAGGAATGAAAAGTGCTTTGGAACAGCCTGAACGGCCTGGGAGAGCACAGCTGTGCCCTCGCCCTTACCAGAACTGCTGAAAGGTGAGCAGGAAGCTTGGGCCCCAGCACGGGTGAGTCAGCCTGGACACTAGATAGGGAGATGGCTCAGCCCCAACGGTACCTCCCTAGGCTTTTGTTCTGTTGCCTGTAAAGTGATGGTGTTGAAGCAGATAATCATGAATGATCCTTGAAGTGCAGATACTCTGTAGCTACCCAGAGGCTGAAGAAAATTGGAGGGGATCAAAAGGTCCATTTGCTAAGCAAGCACATCTGAGAACCAGCACAGAATGGGCTCCTAAGGTGATTGGT